TGTATGTGCGGCACAATTAAAATGTTGATTTCAAACTGACCTCGGAAGCTAAAATTCAGCCAGTTTTTACAGGCAGGGAAGACATGCCAGTTGCTTTTGACTTTTCTCACCAAGGTCACGCGTTGGCCACGCTCTACGTCCAATTTTTATACTCTGATTGGTCAAAATTTGATAGGTGAATTCATGCGGAAAATTTATACAGCATCTTGAAACTTGTTTACTTTGCTGAAGACAGAGTTTTGTGTCAACTTGTGATGTTTTTAGCTGTCTTTTTCCACTGAATGTACAAAATGAAATTCAGCTGCTATCAAGAGTCTTCTGTTATTCATGGCTAGTTTGTTTACTGGGTTTTTGGTTGAGAAATACGTCGCTTGTCAAAGTCGGAAATCCGATTTCGGATGGCATCGTTTTCGTTTTCCACCTTGCTTGATGCGTAAGAGGGTTGAAAAGTCTGAAGCGATTCTGGCCTTACTTGATAGTTTTCAGCGCATCTCGAATGGTAAGCCTGAGTAATTATTGCATTTGACGTTTGTCTTTTATATCTAATTTAATGAAGTCGAGCGTAGTTTATGCGGCTATTTAGTTTATGCACGTTTTTAATTGTAAGATTTGAGACAATGATCTGACCGAGTATCAGGTTTGATTATAAGCTTATAGAACTTAAAAAAGCCTTTAGACATTTTCTCACCGCAAAAAGAAAGAAAGTAAACGTTCCAAAGAATATTTAGTTATAATTCTGGCTGTAAAAGAAAGCTTTGAGCGATTTTCTTGCCTCGAGTTCATCTTTGAAAAAGCAAACACCGGGAAGCCGGCTTACAAAATGAAAAACATAAACAAGGATTTTCAGAGGGCTTTAATACTTGTCTTCGTGAATGAAAATTGTTGCCTCTGTATATGTTTCACCGAATTATTTTCCTTTTATTGATTGTTAGTAGTCTCTTTTGCAATTTTTATCGCCGTGCCGTTTGTTTTCAGTCGCTCATGAACATCGCTTGCATGCAGGAGTAGTCAAAATGTCACGCGTATCAAACGCCTTTGACGATTACACATCGTTATAAAACCATTAAATAAAAAATAAACATAATAAGTTCTTTATTATGTTGAAGCGTATAACTCTATTAATCATAATTTAAACAGTCGACTTTGGCGCTTGTCAAAAGTGAGAACTGACTAGCCGTATAGGTGATTTTGGAAATTTTTTGAACGGTTTCGCTAAAAGCCCAAACGTGCTTCGATCGTCCTGAATATTGAGTGAGTGCAATTTGTATTGCAAAATTGTGGAATACTGCATTCTGTCCGAGGTCTGTATGATAAAAACAGTGCCTCATGGTACTGTTTCACCTCAGATGTGATGTATAAAAAGTATAAAAGGTTGGTTTACACGTCCCCAGGCATGTTGGCAAGATTTTGTAAAGTAAACTTGTCGAACGCAAAAAATTCGGCCTGATTTGTTTTCCAAGAATTTGTTTTCCAGGCCTAATCTACTGTGATCAAGAGCCCGCGCTCTTAAATGTGATGAAGATGATTGCTTTTTTTTTGGTGTACATATAAGGCTATCAACTCGATGTAAGATTAAGTTCACTCTTAGCTTGTACTGTTTTGCAAATTACTTTTCTCTAAAATCACTTAACCTTTCCCTCAAAAGTCACATGAATAAGCTCTAAAGTTAACTGAATTGTGGAAAACAAGTTTATTGTTTGATTTAACTTATAAATTCGAGTTAATATACAGGAGCTTCGCTTTTAGTCCTGGCTAAATCTATATATTATTATTATTATTATTATTATTATTATTATTATTATTATTATTATTATTATTATTGTTCATATCTCACACCACTAGTTGTATTAGTGGTCACGTATCCCTACGTCATCAAGCTATTTCCTATGGCCTTAGGTGTCTAACGGACAAGGGGCGGGGGAGCTAAAGATTGGTTCGTGTTACACTGATTCTTCTATAATAAGTTCGAAGATGTGCAGGCACCTACGCAAGTTCAATGGTATGATGCAGAACTGACTGTAAAGTGTCACTTAACTGATCAGTTGCTCTCTCCTACGCGCTCGTACTGTGTGCTCGGTTATTTATTACTTGAACCACACTGATCACCCACCCAACGCTCCATTTTTGCACGCTGTATCGCCACACAAAAGCAAATATCGACGCCGCAATCGTTAGACCGTGGTAGGACGCCTTTGCTTGACATGTGCTTTACACTAGCCTTATACAGCGTATTGCAATACAATTGCACAACGCATTAGGATATTTCCAAACTGACAGAAACCAGGACAAACAGAGGAAGGGGGAAAAGTGTCGAACAACTTTCAACAACCAAAAAGAAAGACGCAAACAATAATATCTGACCCTAGGCCCGGCCCGAGGCGGGGTTTAGAGGGGAAGGTGAGAGTTGCAGTTACCGAGATGATAAAGGGATTTCTTTTTTGTTTTGAAATTTTTCATCACGGGATTTCTTTGGGGATAGGAAAATTTGAAAATATAAATATCTATAGACATTTTAGGTAGCTTGATTTAAGTAGGAATTTCAAAGGGTATTCAAAACAATCTGATTGGTGTAGTACCGCACGCGTACAATACTGGCCGCGCAGTTCAGACTGTCAGATGAGAAAAAGTGAAATTCAGGGGATGTACGATGAATAAACCAACCACAAACATTTACTGATCCTGACATTGATCCTTCACGGAAAAATCTCAGGGCTTGGAGAAATTAGGGCTTGAAAATTTGGGCGGTTAATTTTCTGTCCTAAGATTTTTTGGGTTTCGTCGGGAATCCGACAAGTCTAGTAAAACTGCGCAGTAAAAAAAAAAAAAAAAAAAAAAAAAAAAAAA